AGCTATTTTAAGGTTATTATGTGTTAAAATATCCAAACATTTCCAGACTGGACTCGAGCGGAGTAAGTATGTAAATCTAGTTACAAGGAGACAATATTTTAAAATAGTAAGAGCAATGTGGGGGTTTAATTTATACAATTTACCTACGTGGTTTAAAAACCGATCAAATTTTGTTTTTAAAATAGGTTTTATACTAATAATTTTGCCGATTTTGCAAAGGAATAAGATACTTTTGGATGTTTAATAATGATTTATCATCTATATCATTGTTGTGTTGTGCCTGAATGCAAAAATACGATCATATGAACGTCGGGGAAGTTATGGGTTCAAGTGCCAACTGATTTAAATATGAGAAATACTTGGTTAAAACTGGCGAGAAGAGACCCGAAGGCATTGCCTACAAAAACTAAACTATACTTCTGTGAATATCACTTTGATGTAGTATGACTTATATTTAACTATCATGATGTTTATACAAAACAAAACACTGTAAGTGCAGTGCAGTGTTTTATTTAATTCGTGTTTACTTCTATTATATGGGAACAATGACATGGTTTGTATAAAAAATATAACAAAAAGTTTTCTCATCTAAGCTTATATTATAATATCTATAACATTTATAAACATTATTGCATGTTTTAACTGAAAAATGACATGGAAAATTACACATAATATAAGATTATGGGTTCTGTTAAACGAATTCGAATTAATAGTATAAAGATTAGTACTTTCTGTTTTTACGAATCCGTCTTTCATGGTGCCTTTTCAATAAGATTCTAAAATATGTACCAAAAAAGTTTACAAAATACTTTTAATTGCTTATAATCTTGCGGGGCCAGGATCAAATTTCAAAACATGAGTCAATGTGTCAGCTTTCAAAGCGGAAGCAAACGGACTGCATGACATCACTCCTACACTAATTAAACGAATATGCAGCGGCAGTCGGTAAACACGAAGATTAAACTGGCTGTGGGATCAATTGAAGTTCGTGAAGTCTTACTTTAACTCGCCAATCAATTAGGATGCAAATAAAAAAGAGATAAGAAAATGCAATGGAGTAAAAATATATGTGTTTTGGTAAGCATTTCAACATAATACTCCTACAGTAGTGTTACTCAGTACTAGTAGTAGTAGTTAGGCTGTGCTATTATCATTACAAGCGATCAACTGGTACATTGCTGAACATTTGCCTCCCCCATAGATTGCCTCATAGGGGGAATTGTTTTTTTTTATAGGATAAGGGTGATAAACGAGCACACAGTCCACCTGATGGTAAGTGGTTGCTGCGGCCCATAGACATCTACATCAATCCTCTATTACAAATCAAAATGTAGATGCGTTGTCACCCGTGAGGACTAAGATGGAATGCCTCATCTCCAGCAAAAAGGGCCTCCGGCCACCTGCACTCACCAAGCGAAACGCAGAGGTAAACCTCTACTTCACGCTGGTTTTCTGTGAGGTCGTGGTACCACCCCGGTTCGAGCCGGCCCATCCGTGCGACAGCAAAAGCTGCCGCGTGGCTCTACCACTGTTAATATATATAGTGGCCATAGTCACCATGCTTGGTAAGCAGTTTGGCAACCGTAGATTTTATTTTGTTTTAACTGTTATCAGGAATGTGTTCCAGTTCGTCTCCTGTTTCAGTTTTTTTGTTGCCTTTTACAACACAAGGTGATATGGGATCATTGATATTGAGTTTTTTTTATCATAGTTACAACCATAATTAAATGAATATTACATATTCTGTGAAAAACTGTATAGCTTTATTAGTACAATCAACAATCACCGGTTATCATAAATAAAGTTTAAAAACCAGAGCAAAATCGCAGCGAATTGGCATCAATTTTACTACATTTTTATTATGTGTGATCATTTGTATGGGCAATTCCACGTACAGCCTTGGACTGTTTATAGGTAAATGAGAAATATATGCACCTTTGTAATAATGTTTATGAAATGACATACATGTTAATAATGTTGTTTAAATTGAACTAAACATACAGAAACAAATAAATAATTTATGATTAAAATAATAATATTGTCACGAATTGTGTGATGCAATTATAATAATTAAGAATTAGAACTGGATCCGTATTAATTTGCTTAATGTTAAACTGTTGCAAATATGTAATAACTGTAATTACACTATCAAGTTTGCGTCACGGCCGCCCATTATATCAATTAAATTGCATTACCTAACTTAGTAGTAATTATTTGCAGCACAGGTCGCACTTAAATTAAATTATATATAGCATTCGCTCCCTTTAATAACGAAGAATAGCTACACGTGTAATCAAACTTATATTAATAATAATTTTCAAGAATTCCAATACAACAATAGCAGTGCACGTGAATCGTTTAAAATTAGAATGTCAGAAAAAGTAACCCAAATTTCGCAAGAGTTACGGAATTAGAAATAAGGGTTGCAAAAAATCCTTTCTAACCCGAGCGTCCGAGTCCGTACACACGTGCACAGAGTAACAATACGTCGATGACTCACAAACGAGGCTCAAAACGTCGTCGATGCCAAAGCTTCGCGTATTATTAAGAGAGAGAGAAAAAAAAAACAAGATAAGCGCTCACTCGTCGTACCGCATCAAGGAATTGTACATCTGCCGAAAATTCTCACGGCTTCGCCGTGTATGGTATTATTATACTGGACTACTTTGCTATCAACCTACGTATAGATCTCGGGGCCGTGGGTAATAGTGATTATGACAACTGGGCGTCTAGCGGTTTTAATCAATAGCATTCAATTAGCATATCTGGTTTTCGCACGTTATCTTTCTCAACGGCTAGTTAATTACAAAATACGGTACACAGATTAATTATTAGTTGACTTATAGCGCTGCAGTTTATTCTTATGTCATAATAATGACTTAGAGTTTTTTATTATTAATTCTTAAGAATGTGAATTAGTCAAAGAAACAAGCTTTTAGTCTTCTATTGAGTTCTAGTGAGTTATTATATTGTTACACGTGCGTCATAAATTTTGCATAAAGGTATTGATGCACCATAAAGAAATGTAATCCCGCGTGTCATTTAGATTTCCGAGTTGCACAAAAGTTACTCTTTTCAAGCTGAAAATCAATGGAAGCATGTTGGAACATGTTCAATACCATTTTCGAACAGGTTGCAACTTGTCTCACACTTACTACGTAGGCCACAGTAAAATTTTTGCTAGAGGTTTTAATTTGCGTCTTACATTACAGTTGATACAATTCGTCTGCTTTTGAGTGAGATTGTTTATTTTAATTATTGTCTTTAAATAAAAGTAATTGAAAGATTTATGTACTTTTTACATAAAGACTGCATAATTGTAAATCCAGTATAAGAACGTTTTATAGATATTTTAATGATTTTTTTGAACTTGTTTCATATTTTTAATGTTTTTATGGCGATTTTTTCTAAAGTATTTTGTATACCTAATATTTTAATAACGTCACACTTTTACTTTACTAATATTTATCTTTTTCTGTCTTAATTTTTGAAGAATTTTCCGTTTTTTTCTTATAAAATGCATTTCTACCAACATTGTTAGCTTTAAATATAGTTCAATTTTCATTAATTCATTCATATAGCCTATCAAAGTCCATATTTTAACAACGTCGTGGTACTGTATTCAGCGTAAGACGCCTCTATACGGCGTCCACCAAAATGCTTCTATTGTTTGTGCTAGTTGGACGAAATATTATTTAATGAGGATTAAGTAAACAATTGTTTCGATGCAAAATCAGTCGCATGATGCGGCTATTTCCGCCGGCTTCGTAGTCGAACGATGGAGGTGGTTCAGGACCATACTTTACTTATATATGAGGGAGGCCTTTGTACAGCTGTGGACTTGTGATGGGCTATAATGATAATGATGATGATGAAACAATTGGTTTGATCGTTTTAAAGAAAGTATTACGTATGTATTTATATGAATGCCCCGCCAATGGCAGGAAATAATTCCAGGAAATAATGACGGGAAATAATGGCTGGAAATATCTATTAATATATTTCCCGCCATATATACCATAATTTTTTTTTAAGAATTTGGAATGTTGTTTAATTAAAATTAAGTAAAACGCTTGTTTGATACTGTTAAATAAAGATAATAAAGTAAGTAAAAATGAAATAAATGTTTTACTTCCAGCCAAATTTTATCAATCGTTCAAAGTTTAAATTAAAAAAAGGTTTACAGTGTAAATTGAATAAAAACAGGATAAGACTAGTTTTCTAATTATTTTTTGATACATCAAGCACGCAGCGGATGTGTAAGCTATATTTTATATTCTTAATGTTGTTGTGTCTATGGACGTTGTTTAAGAGAGTTACTATTAAAGACAAATGAATAAAGTGCGCTAATTAACAAAACAAAAAATGAATTCAGTAGCGTGATACGTCGCGAGCTTTGCACGTGCGCGGGCGTTCAAAATGCGGTCCGTCGCTATGAAGTAGCCGATCCGCTACACTACTATATTATTATAGAGTTAAGAAGTTTAGCGCGCGCCAAGCTTACATCCCGTTTGACCACTTTTTGATACAGGTTCCAGAACCAGACTTTTATGACAGCAAGGAACCGTCATTTCTTATTAGTACTGAATTGTTGAGATTATGTGTTGTCAACAATAAATTTAAATGTGTTGTGTGTGTTTCAGGTTGTAGAAGTAAAAGATAAAATGTATGTATAATTCATATTTTATTGTAACTTCATTAAAAAAAAGTTAAACATTAATAAATTATTATTCCTAAAACAATTAAAGCTCAGAAATGAATCACAATAAGCCTAATATCCTATCATTAATTTATACAAAACAAAAATATCACATCGACCGAAAGAACAATTAAAGCTTTCCTGGAGTTATCACGATTTTGATTGAATAAATTCCTAACCTAAATGCTATATGGCACCATAGAACTATATTTAAAACTAACATCACAGACGGTTGAGGAAACCAACGGAGCAATCACTGGTTTCACGGAAGACACTGATTGTTGCCGGAAGCTAGTTGAAATTATGCTTGTACCCAGCGGTCTTGGAAGACGGGGTATTGTTGCTCCGCGGTCTGACACTCGGTGTAACACGATGCCGCTGCGAAGTCAGCTTCATTTTTAGAGATAGCGGTCCAGAAGAAGGTGCCGGCGTCCGTTCGGGCGAAGTGCACCGGGATGTAGAAGTCTTCACGAGCGACTGGCACAAGGTCGTAGCTCTCATCCTGATTGCAGACGAAGAATGCCGCACCAGATTGACAACTGTCCATTTCCTCGTAGATCTTTCGCACCAACAACTCGTTACTGGAATTCTGCTCGCTCTCGTAGCACGTGTCGCATGCCTTCACTGGCGTGCGTTTTGTTGTTTTCTTAATGATCTTCATCAATGGCTTTAAAAGCGCTTTTAAGCCACTGTTTTTCACCTTATCACTGTTGTATTTGTTCTCGTTGATTGAGTTATTTGTCGAGATGATGTATTCGTTATTAGCGTAGTAAGACATTTTGGAAAGTTGATGATTTCGATAGAACGTGTGTTGCTAGTGAGATTGTAAGCGGGAATGTGGGGCTGCTCGGTCGCTTCGCCTTTTATAATCCGCGCGCCGCCCCCGGCACAAAAGCTTCGTGTATGTAAAAAGCTCTCCCCACATGGGTGCGTGTGAGTGTGTCACTTAAGTGGTTTATTCGATACTCTATTAATTATGCTTTTTATAAACATTGTCGCTTTTATAATTATTTCTGTCAGTGTTTTCGTTTAAAATTAATAAGTTATTTGATTTGATGTTTATTTTTTTTTCGTTTTCCGTTTATTAGGATACGAAATTCAAGATTTTCTTTTTGTTTCCGTTTTAAAGTCTAATAAACTATTTATTATAATTTTTAAACCTAATATGTATCTTAAAATTTTTTGATTTTATGTTTGAATAGCTTAAAGTATGAATTTCGAAGTTATTTTTCTTAATACGCATTAAGTTAATAGGATTCAAATATGAATCTAATTGAACATTTTTATTCCCCTTTTTGTTTAACCATGTAATAATGATTAAGATATACGTTGCAAGATATTTATGTCATTTAAATTCAATAATATTTTCAGCAAGTTTTGAAGGTGATGTGACAAGTGTACAATACTCATTGGCGTGAGTCGTCCATGAGTTGTCCACGCGCCGAACCGTGGGTAAACACAGCACATGTTTTTCATTAACCCCTGGTCATGTAGAAGTGGTGAGTTCTCACAATGCGATTGTAATCGCTCGTGCCCCAATGGAATCACTAAGTCAAGTCAGGGGGTAAATACGACCCTATTTTGACCCCAGCTTGTTCACGCGTTAGTCGTGTGGCATTATTTGAATTTGTAATCATTAATATTAGTATTTTTCTGTGATTTTATTGAAATGAACAGATAATTACAAATACATTCATTCATTTTTAACTAATCCTCATCATGCATATGTTTAATGTACTTTAAATATTTCTGTAAATCAAGTATTCGAGCTATTCAAGTGGGTGTTCATTAGCATTTTGTTTACAAAAAGAAAGATTAAATTTAGGATGCCACCTACGCATAAAATGTTTGGGTTTGTACCGGTCCGAACGTGTAAGATTTTTTTCGTTGTATGTCCGAAGTATTACAAAAAATATTAAGTCTAAAAGAAATCACTGTAGCGGTGATGGCTCTCTGGACCAATGAGATGCGCGGGCGGCTGCAGGTGTACGCGATCGAGCGGCGCACACATTCGATGCCAGTTTAAATATACGATCTCGGAACACGTGCATTCGAAGGGGATGAAAATACAAATACGTCCGCGAAAGGAGAGAGAGCGGCGATATTTTTTATCGGTATGAATAGATTCACGACTCCTTCATATCCGAAATAGGGTAACGCAAAGGCTAATTTGGTTATTGAAAATTGAGGGGTTGTTCGTGGGAATGCTCTCCGCTCCTAGGTTCCCAGGGTTGCTCGCACATTGAGCTTTTTTTCGGCGTCGCGAGTTTCGGCGTACAGCGACAGATGGCAAGCGGGCGAGCGTTCCCGTTTCGCTTTGTATAATAAATCGTATGGGGTATTGGAATTAAACATTCCGTTTTGATGGCTCATCGCGTTCCGGGGGCGGGGGGATGAAGATGTAAACAAGTGTAAAAGGGGTCAGTGGGACTCAGCCGGGGCTGTAATTAAATGTCTATTAGAGGCGTTTTAAGATTATTAGGCGAGATTGTTAGGGGCTTTCAAACCAATTTTGAGGTTATTTTGATAATTATACCAATTAATGTATCATGATATGATTTTATGAGAATATCTTTCGCATGTTATTTAAAAGCGTTTTAAAAGTTATTTATGAAATTTTATATTTTGAAGTTGTTATTCATATATAAATAATTACTGTGCTGTAAATCAGTGTAACGTAAAATTAATGTATTTCAAAATATAACTACAAGCAATAAATTTTTTTGATTGTGGTACTTTAGGTTTGAAGTGATAACTATCGCTCAATAAAAATCTCTAAGAGATGATATGAAAATTTGAAAAATGACAAATTTGTCTCCCCTACAGTGACAATCGCACACTTGTCTTTTAGGCTCTTTACAGCCTTTCATTTTAAAAGTGTTTATCCCCTACCCTAACATCCATTGTTTGGCATTACACTTGTAGCATTGCTTTACGCTAGGGGAATTTCAGAGGTAAGTTATTCTTCAATTGGGACAATTCAAGTTGTTGAAAATTGAGGGGTTAAACTCGTTTTAAATCAAAGGGATTTAGTATAGAAATGATTATATATATTTGTGTGTGTGTGCGTGGAGGGGGGGGGGTCTGTGTGGCTCTGTTTGTGTGTGCGTGTGTGTGTGTATAATTTACAGTTAGAAAAAGGAAATGTAGAAAATACAACAATAACAGCCTAAATTTCTTTTCAGAAATGCAGACTGCCTAAAGATGTTTTCATTCGTCGTCGAAAACTTGGTAAATCATCCTCGAAAATTGCGTTAAAATATTGTAAAGATGCCGGCGGGAATCGAACTCGGGTTACTATGCACTATGAAATTTACGTACACAGCCTCTGAGCTACCATGGATTCATTTTTTAAGACTTCTGAAGGGGTTTAATTAATTAATTGAATTAAATTCTTTTATTAAGGTCAATATTAAAGAAAAATTACGTTTGAACTATTTTCAAAATATGGTACTTACTTATGGGTAAATAAATGAATTAAAACTGTTTAATGCTCTAAAATTGTTTTTATATTTTTTATATGTGGTAATATTGTTATAGGGTAATTTATTTAATAATACAATGTTGAGAAAGAAAAACTAAATTTATTTCTTACAATGCTCCATTGTGTTCCGAGTGTGGGAATTTCAGTTACAAGATTCAAGAGAATAAAATTGGGGGTGGAAAATAAAGGGCGATGTATAAATCACCCCTAATCGTTTCTTTTTTGCTTCGTACACTTGTTGCGTCACCCACACCCACGCATTATGAGATTGTTATACAAATATATTTTGCAGTCGTAAACGCTGCTTTGTAAGTTTTGTACTTTATAACAATAAGAATACAGTGTAATATTAAAAAACAAAGAGTTTATTTATGAATTATAACTTTGTGCATTCGATATTCAAAGAGCGGATTGAAAATATCAGGGGTTGTTGAACAATTAATTGAATAACAGGTAAACATGTTTCGAATTGGTCAAAAATATCGGAGGTATTTGCATTTGTATAGGGTAGTGATAAAATCGTAAATTATGATAGTAATAACTTAGCTTTATATGCATTATATAAATAATACATTTTTAATATTTGTTAAATCGTATTTTTATTTTTGACGCTTTGTAATCCTATACATATCTCTCCGTATGCGCCCTGTAAATCACCATTTAATGGATAGATGATAGAGATGGGCAGTCTTCCTAATAACGACTAAAAATGAAAATCTGGTTGCCAACCCTCTTGTCAAGCGTGGCAACTATGGCAAATATAAACTGCTCCATAGATTCGTTCATAGGGGGGGATCCCTATGAGGCAATCTATGGGGGTGGCCTATGTTCAGCAGTGGAGTAATAATAAAAATAGAAATCAATTTACACTTCTACTAAAAACATATAATACTTAATTAAGAGTTAATACCCAATAACTCAATTGCGATACTGACTAAGCAGTTATGTACTTAGTAGTATTTAATAAAAAATAATTTGTACACCCTAGTTCAACATGTCGGCGTAGCTTTCGAAATATAACGGAGCGCAAATCAACAAAATTGTTTTCTTAAATCCCTGCAAAGGCTTTCTCAATCAACGACAATAATATTTGGCCTCACGTGTTCTCTATTTATAAATCATGTATAATCACGGATTTAATGTGAAAGCATTTTTAATGGCCGCTAGAGAGGGGAAGATAACTCCCCACAATTTCTGGACATCCTCGTAAAATTTTTATTTTATTTTGAATGAATACTATGTAAGACTTTCTTCACTATCATCATCATTACCGCTCTTCACAAGTCCACTGCTGAACATAAGCCTCCACCAAGGAATGCCACAAAGTACTGTCCTGAGTCACCAGGTCGTCACTCCATCTAGTGGGGGGACGCTCCACACTTCGTCCGCCGATACGAGGCCGCCACTCGAGAACATTTTTCCCCTATCGGTTGTCGGTTCTTCGAACTATATGGCCGTGGCCGGCCCATTGCCACTTCAGCTTACTAATCCTTTGGGCTATGTTGGTAACTCTGGTTCTACTGCGGATATCCTCATTTCTAAGTTTATCACGCAGATAAAACTCGAGAATAACCCTCTCCATAGTTCGCTGAGCGACCTTGAGATTCCTCATAGGTCCCGCAGTGAAGGACCACGTTTCAGTTCGATAGGTCATCACTGGCAACACATGTAAGATTTTAGGGGTTACAATTTAATAGTTTCGATGTTGCTTTGGTTAACGTAATCTTTTTACGTTACGTTAACGTTAATTTTTTTATCTATATAAAAATGTCTGTATGAATTCATAAAATATTAATACAGCTTAATACTGTGTACCATTACAGATTATCAGAAGTCCATTTCTGAATATAGATAGGGCGGATATTTTGACAAGCGGGCTGGTAACCACAGTTTCTTACATTTATTCAACTGTTATCAGATAGGTGCTGCTGCCTACCTCCTGGTGCAGTTTTCCTCTATTTCCTCTTACGACACATATTTCAAACTACAAAGGCGAATGCGAATTTCAAAAGGCATCAAATAAAGCAAAAAAAAACCTATTCTTTTACATTTTATCGTAATTTGGTATTACATTTTTATAACAATGAAAGCACACATAGAAAAAGACATTCGACGTATGTTGCATTCACTGCTTTACAAGTATTGTTATTAATTTATAAATTGTAATTGCAGTGTTAGGAAGTTATTTTGATTTTAATTTTTAATAGAAAACTTGATACGAGCAAAGTCATGTGCGACTACTAGTTCAAAGGCAAAAGGATCGCGTCTACTTTAAAATTCCAATTAAGGATTCG